CGGGCCCTGGGAGCATATGGACTGCAGSCTGAACTGTTTCATCCCGAGCATTAATAATGGACCCAAGTCTGCAATTCTTAATTGTGAATCCTAATGCCCTCATCTAAGGGCCTTGGGGTTTTTTACGGAGGATCAGCTGGCATGGAAGATAACAACAGTAAAACACGAGGCATTTAGACTAACCAGCAGATCAATGGTCTGCCACGCCATTCCTCACTTCCCTTCAGAGCCTTCTCCAGACTCTGTCCTCCTGCCACGCTGGCAAGAAAAAGCAATTTTAAAATCTTCTTGTTTATCCCGTATTTTTTTCCTATGAGATGGCTGCTTGCTTATGTGGAAGGACAAGACTCAAGTATAGTCAGGGCATAAAGGCAACAAGGTAAAGAGATGGGACTGCTGGCAGMTGGAGAAAGGTCTCTTGGACATGTAGCCTTTAACTGCAACTCTTCACCTTACCTCTGCTAAACAACAGATGCRCTTCTTAAATTAACAGGTCTGGGCCTTCATTAACTCACTTGTTTATGTACAGCCTCCACCATGCTGGCTCTGCTGCAGACAGTGCAGGACAGTGCCAGGGGACAGGATCAGCACAAGGTGTCCAACAGCTCCAAGGCATCCAGAGAAATGTCAGCTCAAGCCCAAACCAGAGCAATCTCTGCCCACTGAAAAGCACTGATGAATTCTGCACTGTTCTGCTGTTCCAAACGTACCCACACTGGAAATGTTCCCAAGCATGCAGATGTCAGGATGTCCACTGTTCATCACAGTTAGCAGCCACCTGAAATGACYGGGCATACCCTCTGCTTTGTTTTGGTGTTTTTCTTATGAAAATRATCAAGTTTCTCCCAAATAAGATACAGAGGAACAAGACAGAAAGTGGGTACTGCTCCTGACACTTCTAAGCACGGCTGATGTACTTAACWAGCTCCCATTATTTATTTATTTRCTTGTGTAGAGAAAAAATGCTTTTTACTGAAAAAAAAAAACAAATGCTGATAAGATGATGAGAGGTTTGCATGCTGGTTGATGGTCTCACTTTCCCTTATCCTGAAAGAATACAAGTATCTATAACTAAATATTTCCCTTAGGGTACTGATGACTGAGGTATGTTTATTGCATTGAGTGAATTTATATATATAATCAGCACAATAAACATTATTAAATTGTCTGAGTAAAATCAAAGCATGAAACACACAGTCAGTGCTGAATTCTAATGATGCTGAATGCCCATGATTGCATAGGGAAAGGATCTTAACAAGCCTTGATTTGAGCTTTGGCATCCGCCTCACAAATCACACGAAATGTTCTCTCTTTAATAGTGCTGAATATTGATAAATGTCTCTGCACGGCACAACAGGGAAGTTGGTCTCTATTGGCAATCTTTACCAAAGTGTGTTTTTTCCTTCTCTACACTCAAGGGTTTACCCTGAATGATTTAATTATAATTTTCCTTGTGTAAGACAAATTAAAGAGGAGAGTAGGAGTGTCATGCCAAAGCAGATTATTTATCTCCTTAACAGATTGCTGTGCACCAAACCCCAGAGCTGCTGCTGCTGCTACTTACAGAAACTGGGCAAAATATGGGACAAAAGCATAGATGTAATATACATTTAAAGCCCAAATGAATGAAAGCATTAACCCATTATTTATAGCTGGAATTKTTTCATTCCCAGGGAAGCCATACAGACAGAGCATGCAGAAACTAAGAACAGCACCAGGGTGCTTCCTGGCCCTGGAGGGCGGGTACCTCCTGCTTTTCAAAGTATTTTTGCTTTTTAAACAGCCCAGGTGACTCTGGCCACCCACCTGCCATTTTCTTTTCAGCCAAAAAGAAGAACTGTTGCTGTCACCTGGCCCCGAGCACAGCAGCTCTGCAGTGGGCAGTGCCACCAGTGTCACCAGAGCTGTGTCCCCGCAGCCTGTGCTGTCCCCAGCCTGGGCTGGCGGCTCGGCGACGCGTGGGCACGCCAGGCAGCCAATGACTACTGCTCCTGCTATTTTAAACSCCTTGTTTATAACCAGAATGCTGTTTTTTTACCCAAGACACAGAGCAGAGCTGCTGCTGCTCGCCTGCTGATTCTAACACAGGTGCCTCCCGTCTCGCAGGTCTGGAGCAGCCTCACAAYCTGACCCATGGGATCAGGAACGCCCTGAAACGCAGCCTGAACTGTCCCAGTGCCATGTGACAGAGGTGACAGTGATGATAGTAGCTCCCACATAACCAACTTGCCTCCTGCAGCYCACTCCTTCTCAAAAGCCCAAGAGAAAGGGGTTGAAAACAGCTTTACAGCACACCCTAAAAGTTAATGTTACCTGTATATGATTATTTATGGCTGCTGGGCAGTCGTTATGATGCGGCTGTGCTTAACTGTTAGGACACTTACAGATTTTACTACCTGCTTTTTATTGTTGGTTAAATCTAAATAAATAGCTCTTGGTTGTTAGCTCTCAGACCAGAGCTAACAGCGAATTGCACAGAAGGTGAAGGATTGAGGAGGAAAGCCACGAGTCAAAAACCTGCCCTGGCCAGCCCAGGCTGTGACTTACGTGATGGGAGGTGGAAGGGCTGATACATCCCTGGAGAGCCCTTCCCACAGCCCCATCTGAGCTGAGCCTGGGCTAGGGAATGCCTCCTGAAGTCTCCTTAGATCTGCTGTGTTGAACCAGCTGGGTACAAGAACATACATGGATTTCACTCTAAGTCCAACAAACTCATGGTCMCATCGGACCCATGATTTTATCTTGTCTTAACCTTTGCAATCAAAAAATTACTGAACTGCTTGTGTCTGTGCTTCCTCTTTTACAAGTCCACTAAATGTTACCTTCTGTGAGCTTTCAAACATACATTTGATGGCAGAGCACAGCAACTCTTCCCTCTTTGCTTACTCCCCACTCTGAATTCCCTGCCTATGGATAAATACCCTTTCAGAAAGGAAACCAGTGCAAAATATCTCACCACGAGGAGTTTGTGTGTCATATGAAATCCAGGCAGGCACCACGGTGCCTGATGAGACTGCAACAAAACCCYTAAGTGCATCAGAAGGCATTCTCCTGCCTGCAGCCTCCTGCTCTACTTATGGATAAACATGTAATTCAATCACTGCAGCAAATGGATGGCGTAAACCCTCCATGTCCCAAAGAGAGGCAGGACAAAGCAAAGTCTGTAGCTCTCTTATTTATATTCCTAAATACACCTATTTTGTATTTTTGGTATTTCAGAGAACTCAACAGATATGCAAGAAAAGTAAAAGGCAAGSTTAACAACACAGCTGTTGATTCCAGCACTGAGGATTGTGTCTTCTAAACTAAAACAATCTCAAATGATGCTATGGCATGTTTATGCCTTCCTAATTAATTTGTAACTTTACTAATAAAAACATGTGTTTCACCTTGTCTGTACATCCCAACTGCCTCCAGGCTACCARTCCTGCCAATTACAGGACTCAGACACATGGGTCTTCAGGTCTGCTCAACAATATACACAGAAAATCCTTACTTCAGAACAGAACCCTGAATTTCCACTGCATTTCAAACTGAACTGMATCTGTTCCCTGGGTTAGACTGCCATTAGCAGACAGCACGTGCCTCTATTCAGTGAAAGAAGATCCATCTCGCTGCATGGCTTTTTACTTTATATACTTGGTAAGAAAAACACAGATAAAAAATTTATTGAAAAGCCATAAACCAATCTTGTTCAGTTCTACATGCAGCAAAAAGGGAATTAATTGTTTAATAAACATCAAATTGTWTTTAGTATCCCATGTAAGTCTTCATGAAAACCACATCCTTGGCACTTAAATGCATTATAAACATTTTCACTGATGTTGCCCCACACRTCCTTGCAATGGGTATATAAAGGATTCCTTACACACACAGCTCTTTCAACCGTGGGTGTGCTCTCCCTTAAAATCTATCTATTCCCAGCAGCACTATTTTCTTAATATCACAAAGATATAAGAGGTATTTATATAGATTCCCTATCAATCTACTTTCAGGCCACCAGAAATACAAACTCCATGGCTTAAAAATTCCATTATCCTCTTTCTAATGAATGAAAGGAGGACGGAAAGACAAAGCCATCAGTTTCCATAAAATCCAGCTTTCACTAGTGTCTGCTGTAACATTTCTAGATGGGCAAAGGGACTCTCCTGAATGCAAAGGAGCACTGCCCTCCCCACTCCAGACCCTTCCTCCTCCTCCTCCTCCTCCTCCTCCTCCTCCTCCAGCAATGCCGAGGCTGCAGCCAGCGCTGGCACCCACGGCCCCGGCGCCTGGGCCTGTCTATCTCCCCAGAAGCAAAAGTTATGTTGTTAGACACGCCTCAGTGAAATCTGGGGGTGTAAAGAAACAAACCTGCAATAAAGCATCCTCTGGAATAAAGCAGAGCCCGCGCTGAGAAGCACGTCAACAGACAACCCCTGATTTAAGCCATTTCTTTTAACAATGCAAGCTGAGCAAGTATAAATTAACTCACACTTTTAAAAGCCAAACAACACCAGTTAGCTAATTTTATCAGCACTTAAAAAAAAAAAAAAGCCACTTTGTTTTAGAGAAACCTGGTGAACTCAAGCCTACCCAGTCTTGTGAAAGCAAGGAATACAGAGTAAAAATAGGCAAATATGTCAGATGAGATAGGGCACCAAGATTTGGTAGTAAAAAGGGGACTGCAGTGACCAACAGATTTTCTTGCTCACCTCCAGCCTGTAAATCCAAAGCACAACAAGAGTACCACCACCCGTGATGCAAAATTCAAAAAACCCCGGCTCCTTCACACTTCCCAATACGCTTATCCAATGCACTTCTAATTAGCTAATTGTTCCCACATTGATCCAATTAACAAGCCATAAAATCTGAACAAAAGGAGCACATTCTGCCCAGTGGAGACTCTATTCAACCACGCCAACACCAGACTGAGCAAGATGTGGAGGACAAAGCCGAGGCCAAGGCGCTTGGCCATCGCTCCGGGGATGCTCTGGGTGTAAAACCCAACAGGCACCTACCTCTCCCGTTTAGGAGTGTGGACTGAGAGCTGTCCATTAGTTGAGGCGTGTGGGTTGATGATTAAGGAGGTCTTGGAGGGTGCAGAGGAGGAGACGCAGGTGGTGGACAGGTCCAGGCTGCTGTGGTTGTTGCTGGCTGCCTCCTCCGCTGTGTGCGAGCTTGTCACTTCCTTCCAGAGCTGCTGCAGTTCTGTTGGAATCATGCCTGAAACAAACAAATTGGATAATTAAATCAATTAACAGCTAATTCGGCCGTCTTCAAACAGTAATTAAATCAAAGAGTCAGTAAACAAAGCCTAGTGTTAGTTTTGCCTGTGTGTGTTTTTGCGCGTGTATTTTTTTTTTTTTTTTAATAACTAAATGCTAATACTGCACTGCACGACTCTGCTACGCTTTGCTGTGACACCTGCAATACTCATGGAATGCAAAATCCAGGCTGTGGGGCAGGGGGATCCACACAACACCACACCCACCCCAAAGACCATGTTAAATACTGTAATTTTTTTAGACCAAAGGCCCATTTTCAGAGTCCCTGCTCAGGCAAAAAACACCTCCACACCCACAGAAAGGCTGACAGCAAAGGTGGCCAAGGGCTACTCTGTGTTCAGCTAAGAAATTCAATCTCTTTCTTTTTCCACTTTGTTTTGGCCTTTTTTTGTAAGGATAGCAACTACTTTCTAACCTGTTATTAAAAACAAGGAAGGTCTTGGAAAAAAAAAAGACACTCAGCTTTATTATTATGACAACATGAACCACAACATGACTAATTCTGTGCTTAAGTTTTAAATGATGACAAATAGCTTTGTTATTAAATACAGTTTTTATTAATCACTTTTAGACGTAAATTATGAATTCATATTGTCTTCCTGAAATGCTTTTCAAATTTTAACAGTCAAATTGATTATACTATGATTATTTCATTAACACACCTATCTTTCTCATTAATTTTGGTTTCTCGAACTGCTCACTTAATTGATGGATGTGTCTACCGAAAAACTGTATAACTTTCTATACAAGTAACACTATTATTACTGTCATTTCTTAGATCGATGCTAATGAGCCATTCAAAAGTAAAATGAAAACAGAAAATAAGCTTCAAGAAAAAAAAAATAATAAAAAAATTCGTTTTTTTAAAATGTGCTGAAGTGGACATCAGAGTTAGGAGACAACATTCAGTAACTAATGGAAGTGAAAACTGCCAACTCCAATGGGCTAAATGGAAGGTGAACCATGTGCTCACACTGAGATCATGATTTTGGATAAAGCTGATGGTTGTGACATGATCAAACAAGTCAAGTTTCTCTCACTGCAGACTCTCTCAGTGCTCTTTCAGAGAAGGCCATGGGAAAGAATTAGCAGTAGAGACACGTCACTCAAACATTCAGGGAAAAAATAATAATAATAATAATAGCCAGTGTCTGTGTGCTTTTAAAGAGGTTTCTCATCAGTGTGCTTCCAGCTCATCGTTTGGGTGACTGCTCATTGTTTCACCATGTTGCAGCTCTGGAGCTATCCTAAGGAAACCTGCCATTTTCTSAGTGTACAGCAGCAGCTCACACAGGCATGTACCTCACCCAACCTAAGGTACTGAAATAAAAAAAAAAGGCAGTATGCATTATATTCATTTGAAACACATAATAAAAAATGCCAAGGTCTAAATTTAATTTATTTTTGTCATTTAGAATACAATGGATAGATAATCATCTCAACGTGATCAGCCAAACATCTTTACTTTGCTAAACTGTTAAAGATTTTAATTATGCTAGCTTTGGAGAGCACTGGTCTAATGAGGCGATAGACTCCAGAGAATCTAAGTGGTTAAGAACTGTGAAATGAGTCTGATAGGATTTTTTTATATTCACCGTGGATCGTTTGCATATCAAAGAGGAGTAAATTATTGCACGACAGACCAATAACCTTCCCCGCCTTTCCCAGAGTAGCATTAACAAAAACAGTTGGTCTCCGGTAACGGTTCACTACAAAAAAATGCTGAAATCCTTAAGTATCTGCAATTAATATATATTATGGAAGAGGCTTCAATTTATACATTAAGTGATCAGATATTCTTAGGACACATCCGCTTCTCTAAAGCCACGTCATTTTCCTTTCATCAGCCCCAAATGCCAATTATATTTTGATGGATTTTGTCCCAAATGAGCATTTAGTTATTAGACATATTCAATTATTACTTGTCCCCTGGAATTAAACCTCTGAGCAAATTAAACAAAGAAAAAGGTCAGTACACAAGCCCGTGTCCTGTTTTGCTGTGTGGGGGCTATTATTTTCAAACACCTTGCGAAGTGACAGTGTGGGATGTATTTTTAGCTAACACACTTGACAGGACTGTCTGCACACTAACAATTACCTGTGAGCAGGGCTGACCCTTACACACTGTTTACTCAGTTGAAACAATAGTGAATAGACTTGTCTGTTGATGATAACATATTGATATGAGACCGTATGAGCCGACACCTATTTTTATTTTCCAGAATAAGCAAATAGGGAAAGAAAAACTGTGGCCTTTTCTTTTTTTTTTTTTTAATCTGGATTTCTGCAGGTTTTTAATTAGACACATCCACTCTCCTCRCCCTGTTCTCTTTCCTCTCCTCCCAGTCACTTCTGGATCTACTAATGCTTTAACCCAAGGAAAAGCCTGAAAGTGTTACAACCATTAAAACAGACACACACGATATTTATGCCTCSAAAAGTCAAGGTGTTTAGTCTAACTTCCTATACAAGTGTAACTCCCATTAGTACTAATGACAGCCATACCACAGATGGAAAGAAAAATAAAATACACCCAGTTTTGTGTGGGGAAAATGATGGAGATAATAAGGATTTTAGGCTGGTCGACATTAATTTAAAGAGCTGTGATATCATACATGTCTGCATACAACCCCTTGCCAAAAAATTGATTACATCATCTGATTAATAAAATTAAATTAAATTAGAAATATCCTCTCTCCTCCTGCCCTAAATTTAGTTCCTTTAAGAATAATTCTGGAGAGAATTCCTGACTAGCCTGTCAAACTGGGCAGCTGAAAGGTATGCTCATCACTCATCCAGCAAAAYGGTTAAATAAAATAATAGAACAAATGGCAAAAGCAAGTCAAATAGATCCACGACCACTCGCAATAAATTATGTAATTTACCATTTAACAGTCTCATTTKAACAGCGAGAGCTAAATTCCAAGTCAGATTCCCAGAACTGCRCTGCAATTACCCGAGATCGCTGCAACTTCCTACGGACCAGGAGCGGGATTCAGCCCTGAGACTGCCAAATCTTCGGGAGCAATCAGGCACCCGGATGTCTCAGTCCTATTATTTCCACTCGCTGGTGATCTGAAGTGCGATTTGCAGTTTCATTTCGAAGATACTAAAAGATCTCACTCTSGCAGCTCAGAACACTGCTGAAATGGGGTTTATTTTTAAATCGCTGCTATGTACAGATGTAAAATCCAGATTACTGAAGTGTCTAAATACTAAGCAGCAAAGATTACACAAATATAACATTAAAGGATGTGCTATTTTGTTTAAGACAATAGGCGAGCACTAAAAACTAAAATGAAACTAAAATACAGCTTTAAACAATCTATTAGTTCTGAAAACATAACCAAAATATCACTTATGAAGTAGCATTCTCTCCCTGGAAACATTTATTACTATTACAGATGCTTAAGAATAAAAGCATTTGGTTTGCTTTTAACCAAATTCACAGCTACATTTACTAGAGATATGATTTTATTTCTTTCTCACACACATTTGCAGCATTTGTCTCAATGTGAAAACTGTTTGAAACAAAAGGGCATGAGAGATGTGATTTTATTTTTTTTTTTAATAAGAAGTGTCCATTACCRATTATTTTTAACTATAGCCCTGGCTCTTCATTGCATTTTTCAGGACAACTAGTCCCCTTGATTATGAAAGAAAATGTAGGCACAGGTTTAAAAAATGTATGTTGTGGGGACAGTTGACAGATTACTGCTCACAGAACTCAATTTCCCAACCCCAGGTATCAYCGGCTCAAAGACAAACAGAGTTGCTCAACCTCTTTGTGTCCTTGTACCTCCATACCCAGGTGACCATGTTCAAGCAAGCAGAAAGTTGATTTAAACCTCATAATGACATCAGTTTTAAGCCATCGTCTCTCTGATAAAAAGGAATAAAACATCGTGCTGGATTGCAACGCGCCTCGAGTCTCGAGTCCCCATTCCCCGCCGGCTCCCGCCGCCCCCAGCGCTCACAGCTCATTTCCCTGCCAGAACCAGCCCTCTCTGCTCGTGTTTGTGTCGTTTCTGGCATGCAAGTCAGCACCCCTCAGGTTTTAAATACGCTCCTGGGCGAGGACTAATAGTTACACTTCCCTGCTAACCGTATCAATCAATGCCACGACGGCTGAATTACCCACTGGTGTCTCCGATGTGTTACCGCACAGATTACACTTCATGCATCACCACATTCATTTCTTTCACATTACACATGAGCGTGTCTTGTCACTGCCCAATTGCCCTCCTTTGGACAGCTTAACTGATGGACTATACAATGAACCTCACTGAGCCAACTTAATAGTATAGGAGCTGTGGGAAAAATTAGAAAGGTTGAAGCTTGAGTCCGGTGGGTGTGTGGGAAACGGCCTGGGATGCTTCCAACAATAAATCTGAAGCGTAATTAACGCACGTTACAACATCTTGCAAGCATAAATGGCATTTCATCTACGTGCCCTTTTTTCCTGGACTCATTTCATGCCTTCTCCCCATCACTCTGCATCGATGGTGACTGACCAGGTATTGCCCAGGACTGATCCTGCAGCTCCCACCTTCCCATGGATCAGCCCCCAACCCCTGCACAGCAYTGCTCCACACCAGGCATGCAGCTCTGGGATGCTGGCAAGCTAAAATGAGACTTGAGGAGTCAGGAGTTGGGCCCCCAAAAGCTCRGCCTCTCCAGACAGGAGTTAAGCACTCAAATACCTTCCTGAGCCTGGCAAAAATAAGCCTAAATAAAGCGTGTCAGCCACACAGCAAAGCAGACTCTGCTCCCCAGTTTATCCATATAAGTTAATATTCACCAGCCACCTCACTCTCCTTTTTTGCAGCTATGTGGTATTTACACAATAAAAAAAAAAGGAGGGTGAAGAAGAGAAGCAATTTAGTCTCGTCCCCTCCATTTAAGTGAACAGAGCTGAATGTGAATTTGTTGTATGATTTAGAAACTAGGAACAGCCCTAAGGCTGCTTTCAAAATCCCAGATCATTCAACCTGGGCTGACTCAAGCTATAAAGGTGAATGTTCAAATTTATTATGGGGCAAGGGAAGCAGAAGGCAGGATCATTCAGAAATACCAGCATYATGGTTGGTGCCATGGCATGCCTGAGCCATTCCAACTCCAAAGAGCCTGCTTTAACCACAGCAGTCAGAGCTCAGGCAAGTCTATTAAAATGTCCCAAGGCTTGCAGACAAACCTAGTTTAAAAAGTAAAATAATAAATTTAAGCCAAAAAAAGAAAAGAGAGAATAAAAACCCTAGGTTATAATCACTGTCAAAAGCATTGTGGATTTAAGTAGTGCTTTCAGTGTATCAATGTCTTAAAAAAATAAAATAAATTGGGATTTCGGCAAAGCAGTAACTTCTTGCAGAGTGCAGGACTGAATAAAGATGTAGGAGGATCTAATTGTCAATAACACCATAGAATTAAATGGAGTTAATCCCAATTTGCCTCAGTGTGGAGGGAGGAACAGAAGCACMGAGGCAGTGACACGAGGCCGTGGGAACAGCCGTGGAGAGCAGGAATGTCCCCCGTCCCTGCAGCCACAGCCCGTGGGACAGAACTGTGCCAGCTCAGCACCAGCCTGGGACCAGCAAGGCTCAAACAACACATCTGGGGAAGGAAAAGCTGCTCTCACACACCCTYAGCCATGAAGCCAGCACCAGGAATYGAYAGAGACTCCTCCTGMGAAGGATTCCAAGCCCAGATGAGTCCAACCAGCAGCTCTGAGCCCGCCAGACCGGCTACAGCTGTACAAACCACATGTGAACTCGGAGCCCTCTGCACCCCGCCAGTCACAGCAGCCTGGGATTGCAGCACCRCCCTTCTCAGAAAATATCTTCATAATGCCCACCCTGCCCGTCAGCATCTTTCTGTGCTTATTATTTTACGAGCCTGTGAGCTGTCTCTCTGCCCTATGTGACAATTCCGTTGAGTGTGCACACATGCCCTGGCTCTGCCCCCAAACCCCTCACCCACCTTGTGCAAGGGGTTGCAAAGGCAGAGTGGGCTGCCCAGGCTGGATGGTCAGCAGCCCCTGACGCTGCAGAGACAGGAGGTGCTGCTGCTGCAACTGCTGCATCTGCAAGAGCTGCTGCTGGAAGGCCAACTGCTGCGTGGCCACTTGCTGCTGCTGGGGCTGGAAAAGAGAAAAAAAAAATTAAAATGCACAGTTGTTAATATAAGRGCATAGTAGAGGATTTACAGGGCTCTTTGTCTCAACTTGGTTCATTTTATGGTGGCAGTCACTTAGTGTTCAGGCTAAGCCAGAGAGCCCACCTGCCCTGCCAAAGAACCCAAGGTATATTTAGYTGCTGGAGCCAACACAGGGCTGAAGATTCCTCCATGGTTAACTTTCATCCAATCTACATCCCTGCTGCCACCCCAATCACTAATGTGAGCAGCATTTCTTGGTGCACATGTTCATGTTTTACCCCAGAAGTGGCTGTGTTTCAGTGGTGGGTAAAGCAAACACTGCTGCTGAAAATCCTGGGTAATGCTTCGAGGCAAAGAACATGAGATTCACACCCCATGATCACATCACAAGAAACCCTGCACTGTGCTCTGTTTGCTCATTTGAGGGTTGTCTGAACTACYAAGGCAGTTTGACTGGCTTAATTTATGGTATTTTATACTTACTGTTCTTCATCCATCAAGCCCCACAATACTGTGTTACACTAGAATTATCCTGTGCTGTATTTAAGGCTGCTACTTCTGCACTTTGAAATTTTTAATTATTCTCACTAGAAAGAAGATGGAGTTGCTTTACTCCACAGGGATGTGAACCTTGAACCTTYGAGGTGTAAAAGAACATGTTGCTTTTCTCACTACTGTACCCGGAGAAGCTTTTAACTACTCTGTTTATCACTTCTGACATAAATAAATGAGAAAAAATCAGACCTTTGAAGAAGAAAAACTTCATCTAATATTGTTAATTAGCCATGACAAACGATGAAATAACATTGTAAATCTTTCATAGAAACAGCCACTAGATTTTAATTACACACATTCATAATTTAGCAAACAACATCTTACTTGAATGTGAGTGTTTAATATGTACAGTACTCGAGGCTTCAGAGTCCTTAATTYTGTTCAGTTAAGGAAGCCTCTAGGTTTTGCTTCCATGCTCATCTTGTATTTTATTTGCTTTGTTCTTTAAAATCCATGAAAGGCTTTGCATTTTGATAAATATCTTTTTATTTATTGTACAATGACAGGAGGAAAACTTTTGTTGTGTAAAACATCAATACATCATGCCAGTGTTTAGCAGTTCCTTGTGCTAGCCAAAAAAAATTAATGTAGATTTCCTTAGTAATTATCTGAGTGATAGAAAGATAATACAGTGCAGTAGTACAATAAATAGAAGGAAATTATCTAATATCCCTAATCTGCTAGGAATCATATCAAGGTGGAGGTCTTATACACATTATGGCTAACAATTATGGAAAGAAAATTAACTCTTACCAAACTGCACACTTTCACAAACACACCCCAGCCAGATTCCAAGCTTTTTGTTGCCCTTCCTTGACASCAAGCCAGGGGATCACTGGCCCCATTCCCTACTGGTATTACACAGGGAAAAAGTCCCAGCAGAGCTGCTGGAGCCRGACTGACAGACACCAACAGTGGGTTTGACCCCCACCTTCTCGCACCACCATGCCCCATCAATCCTAATACTGACCCCAACTTTATACCCAAAACTCCCAGAGTCAGTCATGCTATTCATCTTATTTAAAAACTCCATTTATCTTATTTCCAAAGAAAGCCTAGGACTTCTGGAACACATTTAAACAAATAGGTGTTTGGATATTCTGAAACTCYGAGAGTTTACATTTCTTTGCAACAGCTTGCTCAGACACATCCATTTGTTGCAACTATTTGCAACAGCACCATATGCATGCAGGCCCCAGCAACAGTTGTATTAAGAGCTAAAGTAATGTTTGTCTCCATAAATACTAAGTTTAAAATATATATTCAATATATTCAATATATTTATATTCATATATTTGTATTATTAGTACTAAGTGTAGTAAGCTAAGTTAGCACATGGGTTTTTTAAAAAAAAAAACCCTTTACATCAAATGACTGATGCCCGTTTGGTTGTCTTCTCAGCTAACCTAAGAAAAGCTCTTGAACACACTCTACTTTGAAAAGCCAGGATATAAAAGTATACAAGGCCCATTGTCCAAGAAAGAATTTAAAAGCAAGACACATTGCCAAACTGCGCTCCCCACCCAGTTACCAAACACAGGATACAAGGCAGTTTGTTTACTTCTCACAATTGAATGCATACAAAAAAGGTCTCGGTGCAGTCCTGTTGTCAGGTCAGTAGTCAGTGTTAAAATGCTGAAATATCCTGATAAAACTTGCATTTTTGATCCCCTCCCTAAAGCTTCTGTCAAAGGTCTGTTTTCCTTTCTTAGGTTACTCCCTACCGCCTAACATAAACTGTCACAGCGCCGGAGGACAAACGGCCCCGCTCGGGAAGCGGCGAGCTCCGTCCAGCGCCACGGCTCCGCGTGGGACCCCGAGCTCCCCCCGCTTCTGGGGGACCCCMAATTCACTGGGGGCACAGAGATCCCACCCCAGTCCCCTCTGCCCCTCACTATGGGGCACTACTCAGCCTCTGCTCCACTGTGCAAACCCCGAGTACAACCCCCAGGAGCCTCACTGGGGTCCGTCTGCTGCTCCGCTCGGGGTCGGGTCCCTTTCAGCAGCGGGGCTGGGGAGGTTTGTTGTGTTTTCCTTCTTTCACGACAGCACAATAGGACAAGGCACTCACAGAATGACTTGGGGGATGCCGTACATGAATACACTTGTTCCATCTGTCAAGGTACACGCTCGGCCCTCGTTAGCACGGCAGCCGCTGGCCCCCACCACGGCACTGCCCGTCCGTTTTCAGTGCCAGAGGGAGGGGAAAAAATAAAATAATACCAGACTACCTTTTCCATGCTAATTTAGCAGGAATAACCTCCTTTAACTGGGCTGAACAAACCTGTGGGGTGAAATGCATTGTTGAAATGGGCCTCCACTAAAACCATCAGCAAAAATACTCCCCCCAAACCCCCAGAATAAGCTGAAGAGACTTAGGTCCTTGTTCTCTTTCCAGCTATCGTGTTAAAATGCTCATCTTGAAACAGGAAGGAGTCCTTTCTTATTGTTGCTTTCGCTAGTGTAATATCAGAAGTGTGACCACRGTAAATCAGTGTGTTAGATATTGAAATGCCATCACATTGTCTAACTTCCCTTCTTGTCTTTTTTAACACAAAGTATTTTTTTTTCTTTAAGCTCCAAGCCCTCATCTTTGTGTCTGAGATGCTCTCCTGTCTGACAACAGCAATTTAGAAGAGTTAACTTTTATCGTTCATTCTGCTGTGTAACTTTCCCCTTCAAATTTCTTTATCTGCCCTCTGAGCTCATCTGAACTTTCATGTTCTCCCAGCATGCAGGCTTGCATTCAAAACTATGTCTAATAGACCAAATAAGAGGTTAATAAGAAGTGGCAACAGAAAGAAAAAATACAATCCCTGGTAACTGATAAGAATGACAGTGGCAGCCCTTTATTGTTTGTCTTCAAATATAGAGTTAAAGATCTTTAAAAAACTAAATTTTGACGCCTTTGAAAAGAAAGAAGCACAAAATAACAACAGGGGGTTATTGCCTGCCAGCCACAGGGGAGAAGCTCCATAATTCTTATTCTCCCTTTTGAAGGCTGTTAGAAATCTGATTCAAAAAAGCAACAGCAGAAGGAGAAAGCCTCTTGAGGCTATCGCCATTTCCTGTGATCATGCATAATGCGTTTCAAAAGTGGGTTTTTACCAATTCTGTTGATCAATTGCACCTCCTTCATATTCCCTCTTTTTTCTGCTGTGTTTACATCTGATGTGACTCAATGACAAGCGCTGTCTGAGACTGTGAAACAGACCTGTCATGTTGATTTATGGGCGCATCAAACCACGACTTGTCCAAACTGAAGCTCGCAGTTCATTAATTAGAGAGTTGTGACTTTGAAGTCAGCTTTCAGACTGTGGTTTTTAACATTTGGCTTAATTTATATGCTCTTGAATGTGGATCTCTAAGGAAAAAACTGAAATTCCCTTCTTGTCTTTGAACTTCTTTTGACCGCACAATAATCATTTCTTTGTCCAGAGTGATGCCTGCATCCCAGAGTCATTAACGCGCATTGAACTGCCACTGATGAGTAAGCCCTACTGAATTAGAAAAACAGCCAGCAAAACAAAGCTGAGAGCATTCTGCACAGTGATATCTCACAATTACATGCCTTCCCTCCCTGTGCCATTTCCATTTTAATTACTGTTAGTCCTTTAGATTTACATTTTAGACACTTTTTAATCTGTTCCCTTTTTATTATAGTGGCGCCCGTAAGCGCGCTATGGTTAAGGTTGTGTCAGCGTTTCCATTATAAACCCCCCTGTTTTCAGGGGTTTATAACTCAGCTGGAAAAATTCACTCTGGGTTGAAACTTGGCACAGGTGGCACAATTTGCCGAAATTTCAAGGGGGCTGGGGAGCAGAAATTGGTGCATGCTTCGAGCAACACCCCTTGTGAAGTGACACAAGCGCTGCTGCTGCTGCCGGACATCACCCGGTGCCTCACGACAAGAGGCAGCTTTCTAGGATCTACCTAAGCCAGCCCTGATGGCAGACTGAACAGGAAAGTCTCAAACTCCTCCAGACTCAAGAGGTGGACTAGTACCTTAAAAAAAAATGTAATTGCAGGAAAATTGAATTGAAGCACACCAAAACCAACGAAGTTTTGGATGTGACAAGTATTTTGGAAGGGAAGTATACCTAAAGGACAGGGAGAAACTGCCCTAATCTGTCCCTTCCAATTATGGACTGTGGAAGCATCACAACAAGGTCTCCTGCCACCTCTTCTCTGTGTCACCACTGATGGTGTGCCAGTGTGGTCCCTCCTGCTCAGCCCATGATGWGGAGAACGCACAACCAGAACCTCTCTGGCTGGAAACTGCACACCCAAACCCAACACCTCTCAGCSTTGTGCCTTTTTCAGAGAGCACAGCAATGACCTGGGCCTGCTGCCTTGCCCCCTCCCCTCTCCACCATAACTAACTCCTCAAAGCACTCTCCCAAGATACAAGTCTAGATGCCTGCTCCAGGACTCATACCCAACTGCAAGGCCTGGTMCCCTGCTATAAAATATGTGGCAGCGAGCAAATGGAAAGCACAGGAAAACACAGGCGAAAACAGGACAATAACTCTAAATCTGAAAGCTGAGGCCCGATAGAGTCAGTTCAGTTGTGCAATCATTTATAAGATGAATGACAGTTTAATAGCCACTAGACAGTCCCCRGGGATCTGTGGTTTGAAAGTAAAATGGGTATTGTCTGTACCTCTTTAGGCTGTTTTCCAGCATGTTGTTGCTGTAAAAGTTGAAGCTGCAACTGTTCCTGTTGTTTCTTGTAAAACTCTTGAAGCTGCTGCTACAAAGAAAAGGAAAGACGGTAAGTAACAAAGTGGAGAGCCAATTCAGYGTCCCTTTTGGTGTAACACACAAACTGTGATTTGAAAAATAGCATCCTTTTATCTGTAATGGTCTGACCTTTAGTTTGAAACTCAACAATAAATTCAGTGCACACTGACTATTCTTGGCATTATCGTTTGAAAAGTAATCTCCAAAATGAACTGATGAAAAACATACCATTTTCTACACAAACTAATTAAAATAAGGCAAGGAATGACCTTTGATTGTAACAACAAAGCCAAAATGCCCTTGCTGAGAGAGCCTGGCGAATCTCTGTTGTGAAACACACATGCTTTCTAAATGATAGGGTTTGACTGTATTAAGTGTTGTTCAATACATGCATAGACATCCTGGGAAATGCTCTCCTCCTCCCAATCCCCAGATGTGCTCTGTGCAGGCAGGACACAGCCTGAGAGCCAGGAGAGAGCGGGCAGGGCTGGGCTGGGGGGATGCTGATGCCCACCCGGGGTCCCTGAGAGCCYGCTGTGCCAAACCCTGTGATAACAGAGCCTCGGGGCTTGCTGGTGGCCAGCTTCCAGCTGAGGAAGGACCACGGGCTGCGAGAAGCCCAGAACACAGGCAGAAATCAAACAGGCTTGCAAACCTCTTCACTTTTATTTCCACGGCCCTTTACAGTTCCAAATGGAAATAACAAGGTCTAAATCGGGAATTGTGGCCCTTCTACCTTGTTTATTCCAATTAGTCAGGGCATACCAAGCCTTCTGGGGGATGTGGGCAGAAGCAATAGGGACATCTGCCGAAGTCCTGACACTTAAATATGCATCTGTATTATTTAGCTGATCTTGGAAACACTCCTAGCGCTGCTCCCTGGATTTGTTTCCAGTAGCTATTTCTAGAACTAAAAACAAAAGAGCAGTCCGTTCAGCTCAGAGCATGGCTGCTCCAAGGTTCAGACCTGAGATGTGGGCAGCTTCTTTCCTCGAGAGTGTTCCCGGAGGTGAAGCCTCCAGCATCCCCAGGGGCCACCCGAGCAGCTGYTAAGGAAACAATTACCTGTTGAAGCATGAGTGCCTGCTGCTGYTGGAGCAGGACTTGGAGTTGCTGGGGAGTTAGCACTTGTTGCTGGAGGATCTGCTGCATTTGCTGGGGAGTGATCACTTGAGGTGTCATCATAGCCACCGACACTGGAACCTGAAGGCCAAGAAGAGAAAAAGAAGGTCAGAGCACATAACTCCTCCAGCATCCCCACACCATGGCGGGCACATACCAGACATCAAGGGGGCTGAAGGTGAGACTCCTTACAGCCCACAGAGGAACTAACCACACCTTCCCCATGATTGCATTCCCCTTTTCCAAAACACTATTGGATGAAAATTCTTTAAAGCAAGTAATAYGGTAAAGATTTATTTGTTTTTACAAGAAATTGTCAGCTGGGTTCTTTCCCTCCCAGAAAGCCCTTGCCTTCTGTGGCRAAATCCAACAGCCAAACATCCCACGCTGATGGGATCTAGACCTTATAACGACAGGTTTTTCAGAAAATTGAAGGAAGGCTCAGTGATGTGAATAACAGCACTAGACTCACATGCAATTTTTACAGAAAGGCCCTACCACGATGTCTTTACCATTCCATATTCACCCAGCATACAGATGTCTTCAATTCTTTCATATTATGTGAGATACCATTAAAAGCCGCTTTCCATGACATTTCAGTGACAAACAGCTACAGTGATGAACTTGATAGCATTTCATATTTGCAACTGTTAACACGTTTCTGCACGGGCATCTTTGCAAGGAACCTGTACACTGTATCTGAAAGGATGATGTCTTGTTCAGATAAAACACTGACATTAAAATGACAGGCTGTCTTGGCCAAGGTTACACAAATTGTATTCAAGCGGATACCTAATGACAATGCTATGAATTCTGCAAGCTTTCTAGAATGTAATTTAGCTATTCAAAATAATCACTGCACTTGTGTTTAATTTGCAGACTACATGAGAACCATTTTGTCAGCCCCAGTAATGCAAGAAGACTATTTCCCTAGAAACCCACCCCTCTACCCTCCACCCCAAAAAAGGAAAAGAAAAGGAAGAAAAAAAAACAATAGAGGAAAAGACAAAACCAATATGAGTTTTAACAGTAATATTGAAGCACCTTACTTTTCTATAGTTTCAAATCAAATACATGACAGCACAAAACTAAAAGCAGAAAAGGATATACTCTGCTAAAAAGGATCTCCTGTCATCTCATGTATTACAATAAAAGGTAATAATATGTTTAGCACTTTTYCCGTGCACCACTTTTTAAAAAAATCAGCAGACAATAGCTGATCAGAAGATAAAGGAGTTTAAAAAAAAATTCTCCAGTGTAGTAGTAAGCAAGAGAGAAAYGCAGTATTAATTTTATGTAACATAATGTCTTAATATGCAGTTTATCTTGACTTTTTCACATGATTTGTCCTGTCATTTGCATAGCAAGCTCTCATTCCTAATTTCACAGTCATTATGCACTGATGTCCTGATTTCTCAGCATCACTAATCTTGATGAACTAAAAATGGTTCCTGAAGGTCAGAYGCATGTACAGTGCCCATCTCCCGGCGCTGCTGTGTACACACCGTGTGCCAGGGCCAGAGCTGCCTCCAAAACACTCGCCTGACACCCATCAGTGTGGACACACCGGATCCTGAGCACTCCCACATTGCTGATGGCTGGTGTGAGAGCTGGCAAAGGGAGATTTAATTGCAGGATTTAATTCCAGAGCCACCAAARGCAGTGGCCATTCTCCCACGGCTGGCGCCGTGTCCCCGTGCCTATGGGAAAGCCACCAGCTTGCCATGCAGGACCAGCTCTKAGGACACTGAATCATCAGGATGGGTAATCCCATTAATTTCAGAATATCTTAATCCGCAGTCGTTTAAAAAGTTTTCTGGGAGTAGAAAATTATTTAATTAAATCCTGCCGTCACTATCTTCGCCCCGAAGCGTGACTCACCTTCATTATTCTCATCCCCAGAGAAGTTTACTTTACCCTGGGGTTTGTACTACCTCTCATTGAAGTTGGACCAAGCAAACAGAAGAGGAAGCATGTTTAAGTATGTTTTCTGTGCCCTTCTTGGAAGAYAGACAAGACAAATACTCTTCAGTCAGATTTATGACGACAAGCGGGGATACAGACAGGAATAGGGTGGGGTGCTGTAAACCCTACACATCGGTGATTAATCCAAAGGGCTGCATTCTGCCGTCAGCTGGGCAGGGACAACTCCCATTCACTTCCATGGCCTTTCTGCACGTTTATCTTGGGACAGATCTGGAGATTAGGCCCTATCTTTGAAAACTGGCCACGTACCTTCCAGTAACAAATCTCTCAGCTGCACACTCCTGGCTAGAACAGAAGCGCTTAAGCAGAAAGAAAAAAAATAACCATGCATGTATGTGTGGCACACGGCTACAGAGCACAAGCACACAGAGTACAAGTTTGTGTCGGTCCGTTCGGCTTCGTTTTACCATCTGAAACCACATTTTCACACCACACCTGCGCTTCTAAAGAAGGTGCTGCCTTCCATTTATAAACACAGCTAMCAGCCGCATTTAGCCAAGGCCTGTACTTTGGTTTATCACGAAAGCAACTTACGGAAAGCTCGCACAAACAAATACAGAACAAACCAGAAACGACGGTGTTAAAAATTACAACGCGCATCCCGGACCCGGACGAGCGCGGGCACACGCCTACGGTCGGAGGGACTTTAAACAGTTAAGAATGATGGCCTATATATCCACTCTCTTAACTCCCGACGTCCAACTTTTCCATGTAGCTAGTCCCTGGTAATACTGGGAATCAAAGGGCATGCAGCACCAGCAATAGGCTATTACAGCCCACACTTTATTACCCATTACTACCGAGGTCATTAGCGGTAAGAGTGATTGTACCRGTCTTAACCTATTGATCATTGTAACTACTATCATTTAATCCCGTGTTGAATGTCTGGAAAGCTGCTAAAGGCACACAAGAGAGAGTGCTTTAGTGATGAGAAATATAGCCAAAGCTTGGAAATTACACTTTGATTCATAAAATCTAGCCAGTGGTTTAAATCAATAGTATTTAAAACAGTCATGTAAGTTCTTAACTACGGCTCTCTAATATTTATGGGTCCCTTTTTGAGTGTATTCAGTCAAAACTAAACTTTATTTTAGATACTGTGCAATATACTTTACATTATGTTAGATAAAAAATATTTATTCCTGATATTTTGTCTGATAGTAAGTGAAACCTAAACCAAGAGCTATAAATTCATTTTAGATTTCTATCTCTCAGATGTCAACTTAAATGTGTTGCCAAAAAAAATTACAAACCAACTTTAAAAATGACTTAACTGTTTAAGTACATGAAAATGAGYGTGTTTTATGAGTTAACAATGAATCACAGAAGGCAGTTTATGAAGAACTAAAATAATTCTGTCTTACTGCCTTCAGGGAGTTGGAGTTCAAATTAAACTACTGGCAGATATATTTAAAGAATGCTAAGTTAGCATGCAGAGAAGAAATCAATCTTTTATTTTTTCTTTCAAGTTGTTTATTTCTATTTTGCACTTGAAACATGATTGTTGTTATTGATATGATTAATGAACTACTTTTGGTATTGTTGACTGATAACAATAGGGTGTGGTAGATACCCAGCTGCATGTAAACCTGGCAGCAAAGGTAAAAATACAGCTGCAATTTGGCTTTGGGAGCTGTGCTAGTATGGACCTGCTGACATGCTAATACCATCAACGGCAAAAAATGTCTTTAATACTCACAATTGTCTTTGCTCAGTGTTTCTCCCAGGGTTTTCCCTCTGCTCCTCCGCATCCCCCAAAGCCCTCCTGGCCCCGCAGTCCCCTCTGAGACCCTCCCATTTCCAGCCCTACAAACGCCCAATTTTGGCAAGACCGACCAAGGCAAACTTCCACAAACTTGGGCCAAGCTCCCCTTTCACTTCCCCACGAAATTACAGCAGGGATGCATTTGTCACTCCTCCACACAACCCAGACAAGGGTCACAGGGATGAAAATGATTTAGTCCTATTTAATCATCTCCATTCCCTCATTTTCGGTGATATTAATATAATTAAATACTAGCTAAATAATTTCAAGTAGTTTAATCTTGTATGAAGAAAAAAAAAAAAAAAAAAAAAAAAAAAAAAAAAAAAAAA